TTATCGTATAATTGTCAATTAACTAAACTATTCATATTCATATCTTTCTTATTTTAACCCATAAACTGTTATTATACGATTTTCCGTTCTTAACTTATTCCCTGTCTATTAGTCACTGCCTCCCTCATTCACAGCCACATTTGGCCAGATTTTGTACAAATGTTAGTTTCTATTTTACTGGTACGTTGTGGTCTGTTTGATTGGTTTATAAACTCAGTATGTTTGGAATATAATGATTCATATTACAGAGGCTAAGACTTGTGTTCTGAACTTAAATGGCTGGGCTAGGCAGGGAGCAGGGCTAATTAGGACTCTAGGCTGCTCGCACGTGTTTTACGCGTCCTTGGGACGACCGATAATTCACTGCCCTCTAATCGGCGGTCACAAGTTATAACAAATGGATAGTTGAAGGGTTTCAAAGTCGGTCAAAATAGTTATCCATTACTCTATAATTCTCAATAGTTCTTTAAACAATAATGCTTTGTGATGAAAATGTCTTTTAAAATTAAACAAATTTTTTTCAAGAATCACTTCAATAAATAAGTTTATTCATAAAATATATTTAGAAATGTCATTGTTGTACTCAAAATTCATTATTGTCCAATATAACGAGTAAAGTACTCCCATAATTATATCGTATGGTTACATTTTTAGTTGTTTCAGTAAAGGTAATATGATATTACATTATTTCATCTATTTAATACTATTGTACGAAATGCTGAACCAAATTATGATGATTATTAATTAAATATGAAGTAATAAATAGCTGATTCCGAATCATATTGAAGATCAGTCAGTCAGTCAGTCAGTCAGCTACAAAGTAGGACCAGGCACATATATGCATCGGTCCAAGTTGCCATATTTCAATTAGCACAACAAGATGAACACCAAATTCATAAAGGTACTTAATTCAGTGGTGGTGATATATAAAAGAAAGATTGCATATAAGGATATAGTACAGGAAGAAAGAATTTGTTCGTAGAAAGAGAGGTATAAAGTAATTTCAATCTCATTGTTTAAGGGAAGACAAAGAGTGTATACACCAACACCATTGTGACCGATTCTGAGCCATGTCACACAGAGTTTCCAACCATTGGTTACGATAGTCACGTGGACACCAACCAAGTAGTCTGCATCCGCCAACATGGCTCAGACCAGAAGTTAGTGACTTCAAAAATTGATGCCACGTTTTGGTTTGGCCGCCCCTAACTTTCTTCCAACTGTCTCCAACACTTGTCAGTATTGGAGATAGTGAGATGATCAATGAAATTTTATTACTAGAAAGTAAGAAAATTTCATATAAACATTAGCTTAATAAACAATTGATTTTTTTTGTTCGTTAAATTAGTCTAACGAATTTTCACATGAAGTGATCAGTGTGGCGTTAAAATGTTTGTCATTATCAATCTAGAAACTTTGCTCATTAGGAAAATGAATGTAAGGGAATTATAGAGGTCAAAAGCAGTTTTTGAAGGACATAGTTTATGTACGCTTTTTTAATTTATTTATTAAACAATTAGCTTGTAGTGTATTTTACATAATCATCCCAATTGTAAGTTTTCATTCGACACAATAATCTCTGTAATATATTCTACTCTTCATAAATTATAATTAATTATCAGAATGTGTTTTGTGGAGATTTTTTAGAAATCTTCACAGATTGAACTCATGAGTCAGTTGAAGCTAGACCACCATTGAAAACCTGGAAGCACTGGACGGCCGTTTCGTCCTAGTATGGGACTCCTCAGCAGTGCGCATCCACGACCCCGCACCACGCGGGGCTCGAACCCAGGACCTACTGGCTTCGCGCGCGAGCGCTTAACCATTAGATCACTGAGCCGGCCGGCATTCGACGGTGTTAATGTCTAACTTCAACCAATCCACGAAGTTGCGCTACCATACATCATTGTCTTCAGTGAGTTCCTATCTCACAACAGACCTGGTTGAACTCCACTGGTAACGACTTCTCACTAGAACTCCAGAAGTGTCTCCTGAGTAACCATCACTCAATGATACATCACAAATATTCTGGTTCTTTACCTATTGAGATTTATTATACACAGTGTATTGTGGTCTTACATATTATGTATAGAATTACATGAGTTTTACTTCTGAATAATAAAAGACAATCAGCTGATCTTTCCTATAGATTAAGATTAGATGAATTTTACATAGGGTTATTAATCATTTGGAATACATTCAGAATCAGATTTAACTAATTTTATGTCACTGATTTAGGTAAAAATCATACAATACGACTTTATTGAATTATTTGACATTAAGCGTACAAAAGTTAGGAAAGCAACCACAATAATCCATGTGGTAAACGAATATTCGAACACTACCGTGAATACTTGTCTAGAGGGCAATACAAACAAAACAACAACTCAATTCCGGAACACGTAGTCAATTCAGATAACATCCCACCACGTGACTCTCCACTCAAAATCATCTAAAAACCAAAAAGAACTGACTAAAAAAGGGTTTAGATGAAGAATTTTTCGCACAGCTCAGGCTATGGTAATTCAACGTTTCAAATACGAAACTCTGAGTACATAAGTTACATAACATACTTTATTCACCCATAGTCTTGGCACGTCTTTGAATTTTACAAATTATGATTGCTAATTACTACCTTCCTCTTTCTTTACTCCTTTATTAAGTAGACAGTTATCTGTATTTTTTATGTTATAGATTATTACCTTGTACTAATTCCAAAAACTATTGCATAACGTAAGCTCTTGATGAGTTTTGATTACTTTGCTAAATTATACAACACTTTTTATTCAATACTTAAGAAGTTGGATTACATTGCAATAACATTCTTCCATTCATAAATTATTATACTTAATACTTAAAATCTTTTGATAATCTTGACTCTGCTATGCAACACCAATTCATTTTTATTGACTTCTACCTGAATAAGCTTGACTGTCTCTGATAATTTTAACTCCGGCTGACGCCACTCTAGGACCACCGCCGGTCCCAAGCCCGGATAAAGGAGGAGGGTTTGGAAGCTTTGGAAAGTGACATCATCGTAAAGAAAGTTTTCATTTTTAATGAACCAATGATCTTTCGTCTTTTTTTTCAAAATGAAACCTTCTACAATTTTGATTTATTTTTACATAATAGTATTAATTAACCTAAAAAGAATAACAATAATAATTTAACAGATTGAAATCATGAGTCAATTGAAGCTAGACCGCCATGGAAAACCTGAAAACGGTGGCGCAACTTCGTGGATTGGTTGAAGTTAGACATTAACAGCATTGGATACCAGCTCATTGGTCTATTGGTTAAGCGCCTGGCGCGAGACTTATAGGCCCTGGGTTCGAATCTCGCGGGATGCAGGATCGTGGAGGCGCACAGCTGAGGAGTCCCATACTAGAACGAAACGACCGTCCAGTGCTTCCAGGTTTTCCATGGTGGTCTAGCTTCAATTAACTCATGATTTCTATCTGTGAAATTTCTAAAATCTCAACAAACCCCTTCTGATAATAATAATTTAAGTAGAATAGAATGAAGTCATTTTTATTTTATCATGTTTTCATCTACTACTTACAATTTGTAACATTATTTGACAGAACAAAAGAGATTTGTATTCTGATAAACTATATGAAAAATCGATGAACATTTGAAAAATATGTAGGAAACAACGACTATTCAGAAAATTTTATTGATATAAATTGAAAATAAATGTTTAAAGTAATTACAATTGACAGAAAAATCAAGAATTCTTGATCTGGACTTTAAAGGAGATGATGATGGTAATGATGCTGCCCTGGTACGGCCGAGAGTAGGGAGAGAGTCCACCCAGGGGAGTTGGAAAAACCCTGATTCCAAACCAATGGTGCACATGGGCTCCAGTATCGTGGGGGAACAAATGGCGTATGAACCAATCGTTGGTCACCGGCTATCATGGGACTGCATCTCCTTACGTTGCTCCACTGCCTTGTGGGTCAGTCCTTTAGGTCGAAGGCTTCGGATGTGACCCCCTAAGAAAACCACCTGCTTCGATTTGGGCACCCGGGTAGTAACACACCCTTCACACAAATCTCATTTGATTTGTGTGGCACATATGTACCTGGTACCCCTTCGTACCAATATCTATATGTTCAAATAAATAAAATAAATAATAAAATGATAATGATGATTTAGTGACAATCTGCAGACAGTTAAACACAGGATTATCCAGGACATATGTCTTAACCACATACATTATCTTGAAGAAAATAACATATTCTCTTAAGCAATTGAAAATCTCCAGAAAACCTTCTCAATTATCACTAATTTTTTATACAAGATTTATATGAATTTACCATGAAAGTTATATAGGTGGACCAGAAAGAAATAACCAATCTTAAATTCCACAAATATATTTCTAAAGGTATTCAACTAGAATGAAGCTATTTGTTCTAAACGCCTAAAACCTGAATTATACATTCAATGTGTAAACAATTTTCAGACTTTCTTTAACTTAGTAACTTAATTCGATGTGTTTGTTTCACTGTCATTTAGTTATATCATTAAATCATTCATTTCTAGTACAAAATCTTATTTATAAGTGGTTGAAATTCACAACTGTTGTTAACTTTTGTTCGGTTACTTCATAACGTAATCAATTAATTTTGACCCTGTGGTCATTCTCGTCTGCCCTAATCGGTATTCTAGAACTTTTTTAAAGTCATTTGTATTTACAATATTGTACTCAACCATACTAGTATGTTTACATATTAAAATTAATATAACGGTAGAATAAACACATTTTTTGTTAGTTGTCTTTGTGGTATATGCGGTTGAATCATAAAACAAGAGAGTAGTTATATATTGATCTGGTTTCAGTATTGATTAGTTCACTTGAACTATTTATCTAGTGAAATTCTAATCAATCTTACTTCTATAAACATGACAAATAGATTATATAAAATATTGATCTTGATAGGTTGCAAAGAGTTGTTAAGGATCTGATGATAGAAAATCAATTAAAGTTATTCTAAACAATGTGTAGTTCATTTTCTCTTTTAATCAATAAAGAGAAATATGTATATGATGATGATGATGATGATGATGATGATGATGATGATGATGATGATGATGATGATGATGATGATGATGATGATGATGATGATGATGATGATGATGATGATGATGATGATGATGATGATGATGATGATGATGATGATGATGATGATGATGATGATGATGATGATGATGATGATGATGATGATGATGATGATGATGATGATGATGATGATGATGATGATGATGATGATGATGATGATGATGATGATGATGATGATGATGATGATGATGATGATGATGATGATGATGATGATGATGATGATGATGATGATGATGATGATGATGATGATGATGATGATGATGATGATGATGATGATGATGATGATGATGATGATGATGATGATGATGATGATGATGATGATGATGATGATGATGATGATGATGATGATGATGATGATGATGATGATGATGATGATGATGATGATGATGATGATGATGATGATGATGATGATGATGATGATGATGATGATGATGATGATGATGATGATGATGATGATGATGATGATGATGATGATGATGATGATGATGATGATGATGATGATGATGATGATGATGATGATGATGATGATGATGTTTATGATGGTGAAAACCGAAAAACAAACAAACAATTTGAGGTCAAATGTCATTTCTAAATGAAATGATTATTCATCTATTGTTGTTTTGTTTTTGCCACACAGAAATATTTTTCAATTACCTTTGTTTAAAAGTTTAAAGGTTAATTTATTTACTTTGAAATATAATTTAATTTAGTGAAAAGGAATAAGTTTGCTTTGTTTAAGAGAAAATGTTATAGAAAAAGCAATTCCTTTCTTCATTTTATTTAGACAAAGAAATGTTAATCTAATTTATTTATCTTAATGCTAACAAAATTTTAACCATATCAACTTAATAATCAACTTTGAATGAGTAATTTCGTGCGATTGATGTTTTATAAATTTTCGTAAACTGAGAATAAAGAGTTTTGTAGAATATACTGAGTTCACTGTATTTTATAGGTGGTAGTGATTACCGGAATGATGTCAGTTGGGTTACTACCGAAAACTAGGAAGCGTAAAATATAACAAGTTGTATTGTTCTAGTAAAGTATTCCTAAACCGTATGCACTCATTACCTCTAGGTTCTTTAAACGAGGTCAATCTCTGATCAATATCTCATATAAAATAAGCCAATCTTCATAGAATCCCCTTGATCACTGTACATCATTGGTTTCTCTTCAAATTCATAGAGACCCATAAGTTTAATTCGTTTAAAACATTTAAAACTTTGTCAATAATTAATTGATTCATCAAAGAACTTCACGTTATTTGAGAGAAAGAATTTAAGAACTAATTTTAACTCATTGGACTGACAGTTTTTCAATATTGGGAAAGATCATTTTACTGTAAGATATAAAAATAACATGTGAAATTTTAGTTTGCTTTGAACTTACTGTATACCAATCATAATTAAGTAAAGACCGGAAACCACTAGTCATTCAAACCGTGTTATTTTATAATCACCAAGGCAGCTAAATGTTAACCATTAATACTTCTTAAATACACAGGTCAAGTTTTAACCTTTATTTAATTAGTGACCTTCCGTGAATCTCATATTATTTAAATTGTTTGTTAATTATTTCGAATACTCTAATTTAATACACTAATTGAACCGATAAGGTTAATCGAAATCACGGATTAGACAACCAGTGAAAACCAGAAGGCAATGAATAGCTGCTGCATCATTATAGTGAACTCTTCAGAAGTGAACATCAACACTTTCATCAAGGATCGAATGAACCTTTATGACATATTTATTTCATCTGGTGAAAAACTGTTTTAAAGAAAGCAATTAAATAAATTACAAAATGTTAGACTTTTCATAAATTACTTGTCTCTCGTGAATATAAAATCATTTTTTAAAATGGAAAATAGAGCATTATCCGCGATAGGTAACAGGCGTAAGTTTATTTTGTCCCCCCCCCCATATTCCTTCCAACTCGTCAAAATATCTGTTATCTCATTGCATGTAATTGTTTCTCAGGATTAACAGAATTTTCGTAGTTTAAATCATGAACTGATTGTAGCCAGATTACCATCAATTTATCACCCGATTCACGTTGGTATGGGACAAATTAGGGGTTCTCATATAAGACCCCCTACCTGGGAATCCAACACTGGGCCTTCTGTTTTGTGAGGGAATGCTCAACACCTAAAACACTGAATCAGCATCTTGTGATTCTAATCTCTAATTTCAAACAACTCATGGTATTATGCATACTAGGACGAAACAGCCTTCCAGTGCTTTTAGGTTTTCGACAATAATCTAACTTAGATTTGTTCATGATTAGAACTTTAGAAATTCTACAATTTCCACAAATTCCTCTATCTTAACAGAATTTTTCCTTTTATCATTTTTCTACTTTGTAATTAGAAATTTTTAAAGCGTTAATCGCTGTTGATTTTTTCCCTTTAACTTAGATCATTGTTACTTCAAGTCTTTCCATGAAACGAATTATACCTTCAAAGTCACTGATGTACAATCGATATGTCAAGAATTCATCAATGAAATAAACAAAAAAAAATCACTTTCATGGATGACACATTAATAATCTCCTCTTCCTCTTTTTAATGTTAAGTAAATCTAGTCAGTTTATATTATGAATGTTTCATAGTATCCATCCTTTAAAGGCTTGTATCGGAAAAATATTAAAAGGTGAATATCCATCATCTACTCATAATCTAAAATTAATGAATGCAACAGAAAATTTAATTCATCATTTTGCTTTTAACTTTGTAACCAAATGATGAGTTTGCTATTTTAAAGTCTGCTTTTCTCCTGTCTATCATGACAACATGCTAATTTTTCAATGTTTTCTGTTTCATATAATGTGTCGATTTTAATTATCTAAACTGACTGGGATAGAATACACATTGAGGAAAGCACCCAACTGCATCACATGGCAAACCCTCACTTGGAATCTTCAAGGCCAAAAGAGAAGAGGAAGACCAAAACACACATTACGCCGAGAAATAGAGATAGACATGAGAAAAATGAACAACAATTCGATAGAACTAAAAAGGAAGGCCGAGGACAGAGTGGGTTGGAGAACGCTGGTCGACGGCCTATGCTCCATTAGGAGTAACAGACGTAAATAAGTAAGTATGGGAATCCTTCTGTCTCTTTGTTATTTCTCCTTTAATGAATTTTAACAAGATGAAATGTTGAAATGTTTGGATTTTCAGATAGGATGAAACGTGCGTCTTGAATTCTACTGCTAGCTGTCATCTAACTGCTTAAAAATGTTAACCGATCCGTACAGGATGCACATATATCAAAAGAATAGACTGGTCAGTTAAAGTTCAGAATATCAACGATAAGATTTAAACAACCAATACAAGTAAATTCAATTCATATTTTGTTTAATAGTTGAATTCATGAGTTGATTGAAGCTAGATCATAATGGATAACGTAGAAGCACTAGACCCATAAATTCAACTATTAAATTACTAAAATTTCCACAAAATCCTCTCCTCATTATAATCACCATGTACTCACTAGTGACAGGCTTTAAGAGGTATTTTATGGAGTTCTAGTGAAAAGCCGTTACCAGTGGAGTTCGACCTGGTCTGTTGTGAGATATCAGCTCACTAAAGACAATGATGGACGGTGGAGCAATTTCGTGAATGGGTTGAAATTAGACATTAACATCGTTGGATGGTCTAGAGGTTAAGGCTTCGCGTACAAGACTGTCAGGTCCTGGATTCGAATCCCGCTAGTGGGATCTTAGATGCGCACTGCTGATGAGTCTCATATTAGGACAAAACGACAGTCCAGTGCTTCCAGGTTTTCCATGGTGGTCTAGCTTCAATTGACTCATGAGTTCAACTATTAAACTACTAAAATCTCAACAAAAACCTCTTCTAATATTTATATCTTGTTGTTAAAAGGTTGAACTCCAATAATATTAAATCGAATTTTATAATCTTTGATATTTAAAAAAATCAACTTTTATTAAGTATCAAAAACAAATCCAAAGTAGTTTTCTGATTTTTGAGAAACATTCCTCATTTCATTCTGCACACATACATATCATTCACTTTACAGTGGCTATTAAAGGCAATGAAATGACAGAAAACTATTTCCACAAACTGTTAATTGTTTAACAGACTCCTTTCGTACTAGTAATCCTACACCTTTAAATATCTCGCTAAAAATATCATCAACCTTACTGTTCAAAATAAGCATATGACATGAAATGATCGTGGTTATAAGAATCGTAAATTCATGCTTAAATTGAGAAAAATTACTTGAATTCATTATATTTCGAGGCTTCGTGTTAGCTACTAGTGGCCTTTGAGAATCTTCTGTTTGCAGTCATTCTAATTCATTATGATGACATCTGTACCTTTATCTCGTCCTAACACAGCAGTATTATCATACTATTGCAGATATTTAAATGCTGACTAATTTTACTTCATCAAAATCTTCGAATGTAGGTACGTAGAAGTTAGATATTGATTTGAAATATCAACTAGCTTAGTTTTAAACCAAGTATTTTTATCCTCATCTATGGGTTTCAAATTAGAAACTTAGTGGCATAGATTTTTAGATTGGTTTTGTAAATATATCTTGTTGACATTCTTATAAGGAATGTTGAATTTAGATCTAAGGGAAATTTTATTCAGCTTTGTGTTTGATAAGTTGTAAATGTATTCCATGAATGTACTTTCAACAGATTAGGATTTATTTCTTTGTAGTTTGTGTATGGTCTTGTTGAATAAGATGTTTATTCCAATTGTTCCTTATGTCTTTTAAATTGAAATTCATCGATTATGGTATATAATAAAACATTTGTATAATAATACTGCTACTGTAAATTAAAGCCATTCTCAACTGATGAGAAGCCTTGAAATAAAACGAATTTCTTTCTTTCCGGTTTGTTGGGATTTATCAAGGCATCAGAATGTAAAGAAAATTACCGTTTATCAGTTTGCGGTTGGAGAGATGGTTGAATTTTATTGAAATTATGAACCGATCAATGTTAGACCACCACTGAAAATCTAGAAGCACTGGATGGACGCTCTGTTCTAGTATGTGCTTCCTCAGCAGTGTGCTTCCACGACCCCGCATGCGGAAATCGAATCCAGGGCCTTCGGTCTCGCTCGCGAACACTTAATCTCTAGACCATTGAGCCGGTGTTCAAAGGTGTTAATGTCTAACTTCTCATTCTTATTACATGGACAATTTTTGAGTAGTAAATAACAGTAATCAATAGTTTCAGTTTAGCTGAAGACTTTTCAACAGTAACTATTCTAAATTTATATTTTATATAAAACATATTGATCAGTACAGAATCTTTTTTTAAACTTTATTTATTTTTGTATCGATTGCTTGATTCTTTCCATTGATGTTTAGGACTGCGATATAGTTTCAAGCGGATGGTACTAGGTTTGAGTCCCTGAGTGAACATCAACTCTAGGATGCAGGCACATCCAAATGACTAGTCCGAAATAGGGCGAAACGAGCGTCCCACATTCCACTGCTAGCCACCATCGTCTCAGTTTATTTATTTTATTGTTATATTAGATTTATTACCAACTCCGCCTGAACACCTTCTAGGGTTTCTGCGGGCCCCAAGCCTGGAAAAAAGAGG